TCCCGGTCCTGTGGTCGGTGATCAGTGATGGAAAAGTTCGCGAAAACTCACTATGACTCGCGAACTTTTCCCTTGGTGAACTTCGTGAAATATCGCGAACTTTTCCAACACTGTCGGTGATGGTATCGGGGGCTTCCGGCCTGCAACCTCAGGCGAGTATGTTAGCGATTCCGAGCTTTCGGTACCTGATGTCCTTTCGATTTCTAGTTCCCGTGATTGCTCCTCGAATGGTCTCCGGATCTACTACCAAAACGTGCGTGGGCTGAGGACTAAAATCGACTCGTTTTTCCTGGCTGTTGCGGAGGCCGAATATGATTTGATTGTGCTGACGGAAACGTGGCTGGACGACCGAATTTACTCATCGCAACTTTTCGGGTCACTCTATTCCGTCTTCAGAACTGACCGGTCTGCCCTAAACAGTCAAAAATAGCGCGGTGGCGGAGTCCTGATTGCAGTATCTACTAGACTAGCCAGCTACGTAAGTACGTCACCCATTTCCAGTCAACTGGAACAGCTGTGGATTGTCGTAGAACTTCCACAAAGCAAGCTTAGTGTAGGCGCAATCTACCTGCCTCCCGACCGCAAAAACGACTGCACGATCATCCGTGAGCATGTGGAATCGTTAAGGTCAATTTCGTCACAATTAAGTCCCTGCTCTCCCGCTTTCGTATTTGGTGACTACAATCAAGCTGGTCTGCAGTGGCGCTTTACAGACAGTGGCACACCATTAATTGATCCACTGCTTTCGCATATGCCAGTTGCTTGCTGTGCTCTTTTGGACGGTTTTAACTTCTACGGGTTCACACAAGTGAATACTTTTCCAAACCGAAATGGACGTTTGCTAGATCTTGTCCTGGCAAATAATTCCGCACTACCGGGCACTTCTGTTTCCTTGCCGGTCGAGCCACTGATTGATCTAGATGCCGATCATCCCGCTCTCGTCGTGTCATTTAGTTTACCTGCGCCGATTCTTTTTACGCCGTCATCTGAGTGCTACTCTTTGGACTTCCGCCGGGCCGATTATGTTGCATTGAACAATGCACTTGCGGAAATTGATTGGCAATTTATCGAAACTGCCGCTAGCGTGAATGATGCAGTGGATTTTTTCAGTGCTGCACTGGAAGATGCTATTTTCCGCATTGTCCCAGCTCGACGACCTCCGCTAAAGCCTGCATGGTCTAACCCACGCCTACGCGTGCTAAAACGTCAACGCTCTGCCGCCCTCCGAAAGTATTGTAACTCTCACTCGCCGTACTACAAACGACTGTTCAATTTTGCGAGTCGTAGTTATCGAAATTACAATCGTTTTCTCTATAATCGACACGTGAGACGCACGGAAGCGAACCTTCGCACGAATCCGAAAAGTTTTTGGTCGTTTGTCAACTCAAAACGGAAGGAATCCGGGTTGCCTTGTTCCATGTTTCTCGGGAATGACTCGGCTAATAGTGAAAGAGAAAAATGCGACTTGTTTGCTCGTCATTTCAAGCAAGTGTTCAACGATTTCTCCGCTTCGCCAACACAAGTGCTGGATGCTGCTGTTGGGATGCCACGTGATGTGTTTAGTTTCGTTATTCCGCGCATTTTGTTCGCCTCCGGACCTGACGGCATTCCGTCATCAGTTCTAAAACGTTGTGTAGCCAGTCTCTGCCTTCCACTTGCGAGGCTATTCAATCTCTCGGCACAGCAATGTGAGTTCCCCTGCCGCTGGAAACTTTCTTATCTGTTCCCAGTGCACAAAAAAGGAGATAAACGGAATGTCATAAATTATCGTGGAATCACCTCCCTGTGTGCCTGCGCAAAACTGTTCGAGATTATCATAAATGGTGCTCTGTTCGCACGCTGCAAAAATTATATCGATACAGAACAACACGGTTTCTACCCGAAGCGCTCCGTGTCCACGAACCTGGTGCAGTTCACTTCTAACTGTCTGCGATGCATGGATTCAGGATGGTGTAGGAAAGTGATGCTGTGTAATCATAATAATATAAATAATAATAAAATATAAAATAGCAACTAAAAGTAAACTTACTGTTTAATCACATCTGTTTGTGTCCTCCGAAAATTTGATGATTACGATTGGTTGACGGCTTAATCAGTAGCAAAGCAAATACTATAAGAGCGAGCATTATCATTTTCCCGTCATTCAATTGACGGACGGCGAGGAGAGCACATCTCCATAAAAACAGCAGCGGTGCCCCACTCGGGCTCATTCAATTGACGGACGGCGAGGAGAGCACATCTCCATAAAAAACAGCAGCGGTGCCCCACTCGGGCTCATTCAATTGACGGACGGCGAGGAGAGCACATCTCCCTAAAAGCAGCAGTGCCCCACCCGGGTTCATTCAATCGGTAGGCAGCAACCGCTTTGGCCAGCTGAGGGTTTTTCTGAGTTTATCTCACTGCGGCTTTAAGCGATCTGCAATCCCCATTCAGCGAACTCCCAGTATACCCAGACGGTGCCACAACCGTGGCGGATCTGCTCGGCGGACGGAGAGGAAAGCAGCAGTCGTGTTCATATTCCGTGGCCGACGAACAGTGAGCGATACGCTTCGGCCAGCTGAGGGTTTCCTTGAGTTTACCTCACGGCTCCAAAGCGATCTGGAATCACAACCCAGTGGTCATCCGGACAGTACTGGACAGCGGGACACCCAGTAAGGCTCCCTCAGACTTGAGACATCCCACACCTGACACCATGGAGCAACACCATTTTGTGAAGGCACCCGACAGGCCCGCTGAAAATCACGACAGATGGCAAGTCGATACGGCGTATATGGATCTAAAAGCTGCATTTGACACGGTGGACCATAATATCTTGCTGGCCAAGCTGGAGATACTTGGCATCTCGTCAACTGCTGTGGATTGGTTCAGATCTTACTTGGTGAATCGCTATGTACATGTCAAGATTGGCGCGTTGGAATCAGATGTTTTCTCAAACAACTCGGGAGTCCCGCAAGGCAGTAACCTAGGACCGCTACTATTCTCGATCTTTTTAAACGATGTCGCCTTGCTGATACCGTTCCGATTCAAATTTCGGACGATTCAAATTTCGGACACTTTCATTTTTAATTAAATATTACATCCAGTTAGAAACAAAGTAATAATGTTAGATGATCGTGGAGGGCACTAGTCAAAAAATTTTAAAATTTACAAGACATGTGGATCATATTCGACCGAGATAATCAACTTTTAAAAGTGTCCGAAATTCGAGTTTAAGTGTCCGAAATTTGAATCGGCACGGTACCATCAGGATGCCGCGTTTTCTATGCAGACGATACGAAAATCTACAAAATTATTAAAAGCCTCTCGGACTGCTGGGATCTCCAGAATATGTAGGGTTTTTTTGCTGACTGGTGCTCAAGAAATTTGATGAGTCTAAGCATAGAAAAATGTAACATTATTTCCTATCACCGTCAGCAAGTCAGCGGATAAAGGTAGATCATGGCGTTATCACCTGTCCCATAATGAGGAATGCGACTTGGATATGCAAAATATCCCTCTCCCCCTCCCCCCGTCTATAACGTTTAATTAAAAAAAAACATGGATTTGACGATCACTTTTTTCCGGGAAATAAATTTTAATCAAACTACAATTATAAGTAAAAACAAAAGCCAAACATTTAAAAACTATTGCTTAAGAGGATGATATACAACCGATGATATTATGTTGGTAATAAACACGGCGAATGAGAACGACCTAAATTTGAGTTTAGTTCACTCATAATCGCCAAAAGTGCAGGAACTCAGCGATGAGTAAATTTGTCTCATGATTTTTCTGTGGAAAACCTATAAAATCTGCCTGAAAACGAGGAAATTGACGAAATTTTTTTTTTCAATCTCGGTGTAGTACCAATATACTGAGTGAATCCAATCTTTACTTTTCTCAAATTCGGGAATTTTTCCCTTGAAAATCCTGGAAAAACCTGGGAAAACATGAGGCAAATTTACTCATCGCTGAGTTCCTGCACTTTTGGCAATTATGAGTGAACTAAACTCAAATTTGGGTCGCTCTCATTCTCCGTGAACATATCTGGTACCTCTATTTATGCAATTAGTTTAACATCCAAAGTCCAACCTTTTTTTTATATTCTGCACAAAAGATACGTTCTGCCCCGCCCCATTCATAATACTGCGGTCGTGTCTAGGGCACAACCCTTAATTTTTTTTTCACCAAATTGAAATCCCAAAACATGCTTATTAGCAGCAATCAAATATTCCAGAAGTGCAGAGATTTTCAGAAACATTTCGAGAACTTTTAGAAGTCTATGTTAATGGAAGATTTGAGAACCTCAGGAACTTTATTGAACATTAGCAAAATGCAAGAGTATTTCAAAGAAATTTGGTAAGCTTCAAAAATAGGGGGAATATCAGGGGGAGTTCAGTTCCATTGATCCAGAAATTAGTGGAGAATTTTAAGAAGTGTCCAGATTTTCAGAGAACTATACGCTATAAATAGCAGACATTTACATACATTCTTCAAACGGTGTTCGTATGATGACAGTACCGATCATTAGCAACCGGATACCAAGCAGATGAATCAAGAACACATATTTTATTCACTCAGCACTTGAGCCAAGAAGAAAAACTTGACGAATTAATCTGATTCAACTGCTGTTCATGATTCAGAACATATGGAAAGAACAAAAATGTCCCCAAAACCCTCGAGTGGTAGATACCTACTCATCCGACATTGAACAAACGCGCGTGATTCAACTTTGGGCTCGGGTCTTCCCATCGTATCGCGTCGCACGTCGAAGCCATTCAATATCGACGAGCTGCTGCTAGTTGCTTGTGTTGTTAGTTTATTTTTATTCTGCACTTTTGGATCCATGATGCAGAGCCCCACACAACACCGACACAACCATACTATTTGCGACGTTCGTTGGTTGTATGTGTGGTAGGTAGGTAGTTCTTCACTGCCACCGTCGTCGTCTGCTGGTGAGCGAAGCGAAGTGGATCCGAATGGGGGCCTCCAAGAAACTCCACTTCCTCAGTTCAGAAGTTTCACTCGTACCGTTGAGATCGGGGACGGGTTTGCTGCACGCGACGTTAAGGTTTTTGGTCGCTCTCTGACTTTAGACCTGCGGTTTTGTTTCGCTTTTTTTTTTTTGAGGGATAGACTTCTACGAGCATACAAGCAAGCGACGAACCTTTGAAAGGGTTGTGCTTTTTTCTACGTTTCCTGAGGTGCAAGCTGTTGTGCAATAATTGTTTGTGGTATTGTGCGAAGAGATTCATCCGGCAAGGTGGAATTCGCGAAGGGCCATCAGCTGTTTTGACTGCTGGACAGGAGGGTATAGGGATTCTTGAACCGAGGAAGCTTTATCGAGGGAAGCTAACTGCTCTGAGGTGACTTCGATATGACAGTGTCGTGAGTTTGGATCCGAAGCCCCAGCCGTTGAAAGAAGAAAAACTGGGGGAGCAACAGCGACTGCAGAAGAAGTTGGTGAAACCGATATTGTGCAATTGATTGGTGTGGTTGGCAAAATAAGCGAAGAAAAAAAATGTGAAAATTGCGATTTGATTGGCGAGTGATTTTATTTCTTATTATTTTTGTTCGGCTTGCTGTTATCAGAAAGCTTTGGATGGAAGAGAGAAGATGATGAAATTAAGTTTTTAATGACGTGTAGGCAAAACGCACAACCGAAGATAAAAATAGAGGAAGCGTAAATTATCCAAAACATCAACGCACAAGTGCACAGCGGGAGAGAGAAGCCAAACATTGTATGCAGACAGCAGGTTTCCTTTGACGTGAGGTGAAGAAAACAGCAAAAACTTGCCGAGATGGGGCCCAGTGAATGCAAATCGGTTGCATACATATTCATACTGTTGCTGAATGTTGGATTACTGTTGCAGCAATCGTCAGCGCAGCAAAGTAAGTGCCTTAGTAGATAAGTTTTCTATTTTGATGTTTGCCATTATGTTCCCACTCAAAAGCCGATGAGTCGGTGGGAGGGGGGAGGGTCATGGAAAGGGTTATCAGAGGTTCGCGTGACAGTTGCGAGAGCAGCGTTGATTTTTTTTTATCTAACCAAAAACCGTCAGGTCTGGGTTGCAGCAAAGTTGAAGTCTTGCATTGTTTTGAAGCGACGAACCCGTCTGCGTCTGTGAGATGGTTTTTGGGTTAGTTTGGGGCGATGGCACTCGTAATTGTGATGAGGTGAGGGTGGTTGGCTTTTTTGGAAGAGCTCCGTGTGCTCTTCAAGATTGTGAGATGATCATGCAAATCAAGCCGGTCTGTTCGCAAAATAATTGGCTTGCTGTTTTCATCTCTGTAAGCATTACGTCGATTTAGGCGAAAACCAAACAAAAGTGTATAATTTCTAAACAAACGCAATCCTCTCTCAGCGTGTTTTTCTGTTTTGACTGTAGAGCTGAATAAATTTTAGTAGCGATGGGAGAAATTTGCATGTCCAAATATTAATTGGTTAATAATTATCGCAGAGGCTGTTGTTTCAGAAAACTCATTATTTCAGGAATGAAATGAAATAGTTGAAGATACCCGCACAACTAGGATTTTTGATGATCCAGCATCACTAATTCGCATCCACCATCGACCTTCGTGCGAAATCAATTGTTCATTCTATACTATACTGCCGTCATTCAAATTCCATTAGGCCATCAGCGAAGACTGAAGATGCTAATCGAAAACCGGTATGTGTTCAGCAAGGATTTTTCGACTGTCAATTAGGAACATCTGATGGTCTGTTTAATCGAAAATGCATTTCATAACCCGGCCCCCGACGATGGTGGTCGATCCGATCATCCGCGCTACGACTTGTGATGAAGACATCGAATTACCACACCAGACAGCTCGCGCAGAGCGGAAAACAAACATAAGTGGAAACTTATTTGACGTGACGAATTCTAAAAGCCTCCGACATTCTCCAGTGAATCATTTAGAGGATGATTTTGGCATGGTAGCCCCAAGGAGGGAACACTGGTATATCACTGGTGACATAATTTCTAATATTTGCGTGAACGACTCGGATACACACTTAAACTTGAATAAATTTTATAAATGCGTGTTCTGTTTGTAACGTAGATTTTGAATGAACGTGTAAATTTGTGTACATATATTAGGGCACATTTTTTTTACTATTCGTTGTCAAATAAAAATTATTTATTAAGTTAACCTGGAAATAAAAGTGAACACGAGTTGAACTGATGAGTTTGCCCATATAAATCACCAGTTTAGGTTCCTGGAGCCCCTCTCGTATGACTTCAATTGATGGATTAGTCTGACATTTTTGTGGTTGTCAGTCGTTGACCTTCAGCATAGTTATTTCGTAGGGCATGGCCTGTTTTAGAATTTGAACTAAATGTGCTAAAAATGTCATTTAATGAGTTTATCTTCATAAAAAGTCCAATACAAACTGCCATACATTTGCTGGGGTGCAATTATATTTGCTGAATTTTTCATATTTGTGTGATTTGCTTCCCGAAAATTCTAATATGATTATTGTTATGTTGACAATACGATATAAACTTGATAAAAATTGTCTTAATTTAGAAAAACTCTTAAGATTCTGCTTCATGGATTTATTTATAGGAATTTAAATAAGGATGTTTATCAGCATTTTGGACCTTTCAACTCTTTTTTTTTCTTAGCGGTGCCGCTGGTGTAGTGATAAGCATGATTGCCTCTCACCCCAAAGGGCCTGGGATCAATCCCAGTTGGCATCGCTGGGATTTTCTGAGGCATAAAATCTCTGATCACGCGAAGTAAAGCCGTTGGTCCCCGGTCTATGAGCTGATGGGTCGATAGTAGGGTCCAGGTGCGGGAGCTGCCTCCCTGGCGTCGTACGGAAAACAAGATCGACGAAAAATTAAAACATAAAATTAAATTAAATCAAGGAAAAAAGAGAAACTATTTTTTCCGAGAACTAAACGTATGTAAAAAACAAGCTGCTAGACTAAGACTAATTTTTAAGACTCCAAAATGATGCTGAAATTACAGATTCTGGATTCAGGGAAAATCGTAGATAGAAATTATTATATATCCATAGTTTTGTTAAGTTTTAGAGTTTTTGAGGTGGAGTTTTTGGACTTTCATAACATTATCGAGAGAAAACAGAAGTTTTTCGTGATTTTGAGCTTCGGTAAAATTTCCAATGTCTGGAAGATTTCTAACGTTCCGAATCATAAGGGCAAATTGCAATGATCGATTTTATCTTTTGTTAATAACTCTAATACCACCTTTTTCTTTCTACTATGTATTGGACAAATTTCGAAAAAGTGGTTCACTATGCCCTTATAATTCTGAACGCTAGATTTTCATAAACAATCAATATTTTTAAAATTCATGCCTACATATTTTTTAAATTAAAATTTATTCACATAAAGATCAGGAGCTGAGAATTATTTTTGATTCCATAATCCCAAACTTAATTTCTTTAAGTTTCTAGATTGCCTCCCCACCTTTTTAAAATGGCTGTATCTATGTTCGATGAACATGTTTCAAGTGGAAATTAGTTCATTTCTCATTCATTCGGGACTAAAATTTATAATGATGAATAAAATTGGACTAGCATGATATCATTGCTGAGATAATGAGAGGAGAGCACGCCCGGCCTGTGGGCCGCACGGTGGGCAGCACTGTTCTAGACTATAAAACAAGATTTATTGTCCTAGAAACAATAATTCAGGAATTTGCTGAGGATGTTCATACACCTATTTAGCATAAAAGATGTTTTATGGTGTTATGGAATCATTAGATGTTATAATGATATTATGAGACGAAGAATGGGTGAGAGAAAATGATAAAATAGCTTATTGCGACTCTCATAAAGCGAAATTGACAGGTTTTTAAGTGTAAAACATAAACTTTAAAACCTCTTTTCCTTACTCACAAATACAAAATATCATCATAATATCTTATAATTCCATAATCCCATAGAACATTTCTTATACAAACTGAATGGAAGTAACCCTACTTTGAAAAATGTTAAACAATAAACTAATCAAATTTTGCTTTCCACGCTCTGTTAGGTGTAGGTATTTTTATTTTATTTTTCAAGCCATCATCGATTCAAGGTGATTCCACGAAGAGTTGAAAACTGACCGTCATTATGGCTGATATGCCCTATCACTTCAAATTTTCTAGAGCACGAATCTCGGGCTCTGTTGCGACATCGTTTATGAAATTGGAACTCCCTGTGTGCTGCACTGCAGCACACATCAATTCCAGTTTCATTGTTGTATGATGTTTTGTGAGTGCTGATATTGTTGTGCTCTTGAAATTTCGAGGTGATAATGAGATTAACCAGAAATAAGGATTTCACAGCGGTTTAGGTTACGGTAATTTGCTGAAGAGTCCACAAATGGCCGTCATGATGGCTGATATGGCCTATCACATGAAGTTTTCCAGAGCACACATTTCAAACATTGTTGCAACGACGCTCATGCAATTGGATTTCCTTGTTTACTGCAATGCAGCAAACGCGGAGTTCCAGTTTCGTTGTTGTATGTTTTGTGAGAGTCGATGTTTGTGCTCTTGTAATTTCGAGATGATAATGCGCCACCTTAATGATAAAATCACCTTAATAGTGTGATTTTTCCGTTGAAGGTTGAAAACTGTTTGTAGACGTTTTCAAGATTTTTCATCTAGGAATCATTTGAACAGACACAAGTCATAAACGACCGATGAGATCGGCACAGTGAATTTTCACTCAAATTCTGAGTAGTTTCGCTAAAACGTAGGTACTTAGATATAGATTGAGTAAATTTTCCCTACACAGCAAAAAAATAATTTTGATATCACGTCAAAGTGGATGCACTACAATCATGTCGAAAATATGGTGTAATATAACTTGCTAAAAAGGACAAAATTATCATTAATACAATGCATGAACTGACATTACGCTGCTTTTACTGTATTTGTTTATTTATGTGGTCATAAAAATTACATGAAATTTTCGACATGATTGTAGTGCATCCACTTTGATGTGATATCAAAATTATTTTTTTGCTGTGTAGCCTTTCTTCAAAAATCTGCCTAAATATGAGGAAAATGAACGTTTTTGAGAATTTATGTAAACGGAACTCATATATGAGTAAAATTTAACGGCCATGTAGAGTTTCAACCATAAGTCCTGGAATATCAGGGAATTTTATGGAATTTCTTTCAAAATCAGTGAAATATCTCTTAATCCTCTTTGAAAGTATTACTGATCTCGGTAGTCTCACATAATTGAATTGCTTGGTGTAGTTTTATGATGTTTGAAAATTAATAAAATCTTCAATCTTATTGTAAGGTTGTGGGTGCACAAATGAATTACTTAAATGCTTCAATAAAGAACATAGTCTTCTCCAGCTGCATATGTATTGTATAAAAATTACAGATGCATTACTGTAAGAACTGTCAAAATCCTATGAATATACAGTGTGTTGTTGTAGTGGGATCCAGAGGGACGGTTATAATCCATTTACATCTTCGAGTAGAACTATACATTGTTGGTTGTGACACAATTCATGCTCCAAGTGGATTAGCGCGTTTCTGGGTGGCACTGTGATTAGTTCGGTCCAACAAAAATTTAACCTCAGAAAATGGGTTGGAGCGTCTTTGTGTAAATGCAAGAATGGAAAAAAGTTAAGAGATGTATCGCTGTATTTCCTCATTGTGTGCTTAAGAGCCGGATAAATTCAGACATTAAGCTATCCAATGATAATTTAGAATTATGATCCTGTTTGGATGGAAGAATTTTTAATTGCTTGATGTAGCAGATTATGATTAAATATTGAACTCAGGGTCACATGGACGCAAATTTCAAATCTGTGGAAGCACAACTCTGAATATCAAATTTAAGATTATGCTGATGGAAAGAAAGTGGGGGAAAATTCCAAGTACTTGTTGGTTATTTGCTTAATAACACT